AGGACTGTGGGCCCTGCCGATTGGCCAGGCGCAAGTCTAGGTCTTGTTACACAGGATGAGGTTGTGTCTATGGGGCGCACTTCCCTTGATTATCATTGGTTAGTTTAAAGAAATCCTAGGTGTGGCTAGCAGAGGCTTCGGCTTCCGGGAAGAAGGTCCTTGCTGAGCACATGGCTGCTGCCCAAAAATGGAGGATTCGGGGCAAGATGGAGGGCGTAGCCCTCGCCCTTTCACTTTCTCCTACTTCCTTAATCTATCACCAATGGATTTCATGTAACCCACCTACTTCCCTTTCCTTTGATTGCCATGTATAAATACAGATGTAACCCACCATTCTCCGGAGCATTATCTCAATCCATTGAGCTTCTGCTTCCCAGCATAGGTCGACAGTTTGGCTCAAATAAACTCACAAAAATTCTTTACAGGTTTCAATGGTTTTTTACCTTAACATCTCCTTTCCCAGGCTTGCTCCCCGCTGTGCTGTCCAAGGTTCTACCAACCTCAGCAGAGGAATTCCCTGGGACAGGGGCCTTCAGCCAGAATCCACTCCTTCCCCAGCACATCCACAGGTCAAAGATATTTGTCTTCTCTCTTTTTTTTTTTAATACATTTTTATTGATTTCCGAGAGGAAGGGAGAGGGCGAGAGAGATAGGAAGATCAATGATGAGAATCACTGATCGGCTGCCTCCTGCACGCCTCCGACTGGGGATCCAGCCCGCAACCCAGGCATGTGCCCTGACCGGGAATCGAATTGTGACCCCTTGGTTCATACATCTGTTGCGGAAGACCAAAGAAAAACCAAGCGACGCTTTTAGAGAAAGGGAGGGACACTGTTTAATGCGCCAGCGGACTCAGGGAATAACTTTCCAAATCTGAGTAAAGTAACATGCAGGGGGCTTCTCTTTATATCTCCCTGTGGTCTTTGTCCCGCAAATATGGATTATGCTTCCGGGGTCCTTTTTTCCGGCCTTGCAAGAAAGCCACCAGGTTATTGGGGGTCTCCAGGCCATATCTGATGGTTTGGCCTGGGGCCAGCGTTAATAACCCTCCCTCCGGGGCAGTGCACTGTTCACAGTTTTATGGCCTCTGCAATAAGTGAAGCAAGACCAGTTTCTGGAAAAGAAGTAATGACTTAATTACAGGTTATCAAGAATGTACACTGGGCTGGCTGGCATGGATTCTGATTGCTAGCCCCCCAAATATCAGGGTTACATTGGAATTAGCTTTTTAGCCTCCTTAGGTCGACACTCAACCATTGAGCCACACCGACCAGGCAAAGATATTTGTCTTTTTTTTAAGAATTTTGTTTCTAGAGTCCATGGTTGTCTTTCTAGAATCTAGAATGCTGATTAATGCTTTGGGGCAAGCATGTCAAACTCAAAGGCTAACACGGGCCAAATAAGTGAAGCATGTGGCCCGCGGGCTGTGAGTTTGACATGCTTGCCCTGGGGGCTTCCGCCAGACAGGGCTGGTCTTTGGCCAAGGAGCTTTGGCACACCAAGTCCAGAACTTTCCAAGCCAGGTACCTGGCTTGCAGAAAAGCCTCATTTCTCCAATAACCCAGCTCAGCCAGCATTGCTGAATCAGATACAGAGTTCATACTTCACACCCTGCTCCCCAGCCCCAAGGGCCTGCCAGGCACCAGACAGGGTCCCAACCAGCCAGACCCTTCAAGGCTGCTTCTCTCAGGCACACACACACAAATACACACACACACACACACACACACACACACACACACACACACACACACACAGAACCGGCAGAAGCTTTGAAATGACCACTTGTAAAGGCCCGATCAAATTCTTAGCAATTCTTAGCCGCGGGCGGTCTTCTTCCTTCTCGGCCCCTGTTTAGCTGGGGGAGGGGGGAGCGGACATTCTTCCGGGATCTTTGTGTTTGGGGATGTAGAGTTGAGATGTGGGAGCAAGTTGATGCACACAGATAGGTAGATAAACGTGAAAATCCTCCCAGGCTGTGGGAATGGGGGCACTCCCGTGGTGGGCAGAATCCAGGAGAAGGCAGAAGGTTTGTGTTTGCACCTACGGGCTCTGCCCCGCTGCCTCGACTACTGAAAGGTCAAAGGGCAGGAAGGAACTACCAGCGGGAAAAACTTCCAAACCTGTAAGAATCTTGAGGAGTTCATTTGAACCAAACTGACCATTGCTGGGCAGCAAAATCTTAACGGATTGGGAAAGTTTCGCCATTCTCTGGCGTATTTTACACATTATAATCAAAAGAGAAAGCAGAAGGGGGTTACAGGATATCCATTGGAGATAGATTTGGGAGGGGGGAGAAAGCAAAGGGGAGTGGTGAGAATTGGGGGTTGCATAAAAAGTAAAAAAACAAGTAGATACTTCTACATAACAATGAGAGGCTTGGTAGTCTCTCCTCAGGTGGGCGATTGTGCCCCGCGGGGTCTGGAAACAGGAAATTACCTCAACATTCCACAGGCAGTTATTTTAGATGCAAAAAGACAATAGGCTCAGTTAAGGTAAAGATCAACCTTTAGATCCAGCCTGGTGTGGCTCAGCGGTTGAGTGTGGACCCAGGAACATCCCCGGGCTGCGGGGCTCGATCCCCAGTGTGGGGCCTGCAGAGGCAGCCAATCAATGATTAGCTCTCATCATTGATATTTCTAGCTCTCTCTCCCTCTCCCTTTCTCTCTGAAATCAATAATATATATTTGAAAAATATATATATTTGGGGGAAAAAAAAGATCGAACTTTATGAGGGAAAATACTGGCCTAGGAGGTGACTACCTGCATGACTCGCTTTTAGTTAGAAAGTTTTAATTTCAGCCCTGGCCGGTTTGGCTCAGTGGATAGAGCATTGGCCTGCGGACTGAAGGGTCCCTGGTTCGATTCTGGTCAAGGGCACGTGCCCAAGTTGCGGGCTTGATCCCCAGTAGGGTGCATGCAGGAGGCAGCCAATCAATGATTCTCTCTCATCAATGAAGTTTCTATCTCCCTCTCCCTTCCTCTCTGAAATCAATAAAAATATATTTTAAAATAAGATGGAAAGTTTTAATTTCAGACCATCCTATGTGGTTACTTTGAGTCTCTGTGTTTGTAAGGCCCACCATGCAGGCCTCCCTCCCCTGAGCTTGTCAAGTGTAGCCCTGCCCTTTGACCTTAAGTATTCCAGGCACCTTCCAAGAGCCTGCAGGTGCAAACACAGAGCTTGTCAGCTTGGGAGCGCCTACTGGCCAAGAGGAAATATTAGGATTTGCAAAGACCATGGAGTTCTTTTTTTTAAAAAATATGTTTTATTGATTTTTTACAGAGAGGAAGAGAGAAGGATAGAGAGTTAGAAACATCGATGAGAGAGAAACATCAATCAGCTGCCTCCTGCACACCCGCTACTGGGGATGTGCCTGCAACCAAAGTACATGCCCTTGACCGGAATCGAACCTGGGACCCTTCAGTCCGCAGGCCAACGCTCTATCCACTGGGCCAAACCGGTTGGGGAAAGACCATGGAGTTCTGAGGCCTCCAAACTGGGACTCAACCTGGCTCTCCCATGTTTGCAGTGGGGCATCTGGGACCCACATACTGTCTGGGGACCAGTGCGAAATGAAAATGCCAGTCCTTCTGCTCGAAAATTATTAGGAATTTTAGCCCGGCTGGGGTGGCTCAGTGGTTGAGCGTCCACTTATGAACCAAGAGGTCACAGTTTGATTCCCAGTCAGGGCACAGGCCGGGGTTGCAGGCTCGATCCCCAGTGTGGGGCGTGCAGGAGGCAGCCAATCAATGATTCTCTCTCATCATTGATGTTTCTCTCTCTCTCTCTCCCTCTCCCTGCCTCTCTGAAATCAGTAAAAATATATAATTTATTTTTTTAAAGAGGCTCAGGCCTTTCAGATTCATCAAGGAGAAAGTCAGCAGGGCAGCTGACCTTTCTCATCACCTCTCTGAGAGCATGACTTTGCTACGTTATTATGCTGGAAGGCCTCTGTCCTCCTAGGATGGAAAAGGAAATAAAATGGGAAGGTATACAAAAACACATGGCTCAGCGGTTGTGTGTTGACCCAGAAACCCAGAGGTCGCTGGTTCAATTCCCGGTCAGGGCACATGCCTTGGTTGCAGGCTCCATCCCCAGTAAGGGTGCGTGCAGGAGGCAGGTGATCGGTGATGCTCCTCTCTCATCGATGCTTCTATCTTTCCCTCTCTCTGTAAAAATCAATAAAAACATGTTTTTTATTTTATTTTTTGTAATGTATTTTATTGATTTTTTACAGAGAGGAAGGGAGAGGGATAGAGAGTCAGAAACATCAATGAGAGAGAAACATCAATCAGCTGCCTCCTGCACACCCCCCCACTGGGGATGTGCCCGCAACCAAGGTACATGCCCTTGACCAGAATCGAACCCGGGACCCTTCAGTCCGCAGGCCGACGCTCTATCCACTGAGCCAAACCGGTCAGAGCTAAAAACATGTTTTTAAAAAACCCCACAAATTACACCTCTCAAATTACAAGCCACAGTGGATCCAGATGACTTACCTGTACTTGCAAAGTGTCCCCGGAAAGTACAGGAGAGTTAACAATTAACTAGTAGCAATGGACTGAGATGCATGAAATTCTCCATCCTCACTCGGGCTGGGCATTTAGTGTGTGCCAGGCCTAGTGCGGAATGCCACAGGTGCATCCAGGTGACCAGAAGGCGCTCGGAGCCCAGCAGGGCAGCGACCGCATCCAGGGGCTCAGGAGGCAGAGGTGATAAGGGCGCCTTGCGGGATCCTAGCTAAGACCACTGGCTCTCAGAGACAGTGCAAACGCCTGGAATTGCATGCCTCACACTCCATGCATCTCTGCATGTGCCTTCCTGCGGCAACACTCATGCTTTCCAACGCGGCGTCTCAGTCTGAAAACCCATGTCCTCCCTGAAGTAGCCAGTGGAGGCCCTCTTGTTGCCTAACTTCCCTGATGCATGTGGGGAGAGGGGGTCCCCCAAAGCCCTCTGCCTTAGAATGGCAGCCTCCTGCTTGCTTCCCCAGCACCTCCCAACTACTGTCCTGGACGCACCCCTCCAACGCCAGGTTTAGGGGCTTACTTCTCCCAGTCATCACAAAGCCTCTTCTCACCCCGAAGCAGGCCCCTCTATTTCTTTTTTTTAATTTAAATTCTTTATTGTTTAAAGCAGTGGTTCTCAACCTTCCTAATGCCGCGACCCTTTCATACAGTTCCTCATGTCGTGGTGACCCCCAACCATAAAATTATTTTCGTTGCTACTTCATCACTGTAATGTTGCTACTGCTATGAATCGTCATGTAAATATCTGATATGCAGGATGTATTTTCATTGTT